ATATAGAAACCTAAGTATTCTTAATATCATAAAGTATGCATCCTAGTAGATCAGAAACAGCATATTTATTGGGACAGTATTTTTAAATTAATGTTGCATTTCCTGGTGGTTTGAATTTATTCCTCATCACATATCTTGAGGAGAAGCCAGATTATCTGTCTGAGTCTGTATCAGCACTCCCTGCCTGACATAACTTGATTGCTTTTAAATATTACATTATGAAAATAGTATCCCAAAGTTATTTTACAGCAACCACCTGCATCCATTTTCTGCGCAAAAGCTGAATGTGGTTTCAAAAAGCCACAAAAATGCTGATGTTAGAACTTGCTTACGACATTGGAAATATTAGAAACATTTAAATTCTTTACCATTATGAATAATGTTACAGAAATGGTTACACTTTAGATTGCACCTCCAATTTACTACAGAAATGGACCCTTCTTCCAAGGCCCACCCTGGGGAGCTGTGAAGGCAGGCAAACCTCTGCAGTGTCAGGGAACCTGTATTGGAGGCCTGTAGAGATGTGCCAAAACCTCAAAGCGAACCCGGTTATCTCTGCCTTTCCAGGGACAAGCCTGCAAAGAAGAATTTGAAAGCAGCTATTGCTAATACTGGCACAGTCACTGGTCCGAAAACTTCCTCAATAGCATGCACCAACAGTTTAGGATAAAATCTTTCTGCAAGTTGATTTTTTTGTTTTAATTTTTTTTTTTTAGTATCTCACTGTCCACACAGATCTATTTAATGGCTGCAGAGAGCCGTAAGACAGTGCTGTTCTTTCATAGCTGTTTGCAGGCTCTTCTGGTTACTTGGAAAGCTGGGGTTGTCCTGATAAAGTTACATATGTTGCAGGCTGAAGAGGGAAGATCTGTCTGCATGTCCTCAGGAGAATTACTGATTTCCTTCCTATGCATGTGCTAATATCAGTTGTCAGCAGACTCATCAGCTCAATTTTGTTATATGAGTTATTTGCTGAAAGCAAGCTGTTCCTTGGGAACTATTAACTTGATAAATCAAGTTGCTGCTAATGTAACTAAAGATATCTTACGGGCATTGAGTTACTGCTTGTCATACTGCGTAGTGCTCTAATGGCAGTAAAGTGCCTGAAAAGCAATTTTACTATTTACTTTTATGCCTGTGTAAATAGCTGATTTATCCTAATGACTGGATGGGACATAATTGGAAGTCAGTCTTCAAGGATGTATTATGCATATTAATTATGACTGTGAACTGGCCATCAGGAAGACTCTTGTCTGCTTGATCCTCTTAATGCTGCAAACATCATTATCTTTGCTAATGAGCCATGATGGCTGAAAGTAGTACTGTTCTACTCTGGAAGTCTGTTGTGGATGTCTGGTTACCAAAACAATTTCCCCAGAGAGTTTTCAACAGATTAAAACTGCTTGCAGGATCTCCAGAGCTCCTGCACGTGCAAAATCTAACATTTTTTAAGGCTTATATCCCTGGGAAAGGAGGTAGGGTGGGTAGCACTAGGGCAGTGCATTAGGAAAGTCAGATTCTGCGTACAGCTCTGTGCTTATCTGGTCCCTGTGTGACCCTGGAGAAGTGGCTTTGCTTCTGTAAAGCAGGGCATGAGAAAGGGTAGCGGTTACAACCAGAGGTCCTGGAGTGTTGAAATGTCAACAGAATCTTGCTACAGGAAACCCTGCAGCGTGCTGCAGCCGCTGTGCTTTCCCGTTAAAAGGATAAATATGTGGGAGGAAAAAAAAGTGAAATTCAACTCTTAGGACACACAAAATGTTTTTACACAGTGGTACTGTTAATCACTTTCATTGAGAGAAGGAAATATTCCATAGCAGAGAGACTGTATCAAACCCAGAAAAACTATCATAGAGAGCTCATTAGAATTGGCAGCTTAGTGTTGCTCTTGCCTTTGTTGGAAGATACTTAAATATTTCATAATGTATCTTTGTAAGTCAGAACCTCAGTTTAAGTAACCAGTTAGTTCACTATGGCTACATTGCCTTCCACAGTTGGTTCACATAATTCAGCTGAAAAATAACTATGGAAAATGTTAGGCCTGGTTGAAGCAAGTCTTTTTTATTAATGCAAGCACATCCAGTCAAACACAGAATATCCTGCTTTATGGTACAGCTTTATATTTAGCATTTCAGCTCAGAATAGCAAAACATGGTATTTAAGGAATGTATCAAACTGAGGGAGGAAAAACAAAAAGGAGCCAATGTTGATAATACTGCACTGATTTCAAGTATATACTAGGGCTGATTGACCAGTGAAGTGCACATTCATGTGAAAGCTTTTTTTATACATTTACAGAAAGTGTTCTAAAATTGCATTTCAAATATATATTTTTTCTTAAATTTAAGCATCCCTTTTAAATTTCAGTTACATAAACAAAGCTGATATACAATCCCTCTTATAGTGTCCGACAATGTTACTAACTAGAACATCTCTGAAAGTGCAAAACACTGTAATAATACAGTATAAATATTCTTACTCTAATCCAGAGCTGAAGGTCAGTACTTCAGCATAGGAAAAATAGCAGCAGATCATAAGAATTATTCCTTCCCCTTTTCTGGGCTGTTGTTTTTAACAGTTACTATTCTACTTTTTCCTTCTTCATGGGATAACTTGCTTTTTTTTCCTCTTTTGTGTCAATGCTATGGGAATAGCAAAATGTTGATTTTTCTCTCTCTTCTTTACCCCAACTTGCTTTTCTGATTTTAAGTATTTGTCAAGGGGGGAGTGGAACAGGGAGAGAGGGAAGTCTCTTTAATTTTTCACCATACTATAGGGTGAATGCAACAAATAATTTCTAAGTGATTGCAGATGCTATACGAAACAGTGGCACTGCTCTTGGTTGTAGGCACTAAGCAAGAAGAGTCTGCTGGACTGGAATAAACCAGACCCTCAGTTCAGCAAGTCTTGCCCCTTCCAACAGAAGGCAGAGTAAGATAAAACCGATCTACTTAGAGGTGATAATTTTTAAAGAAGCTTGTGCAGAGGTCCTCTGCGAGGCTCTATGAGGGAGGCTGCAACCACTGGTGAACTCTGGAGGGCCTTGTTTAAAAACAAATCCAAAACCAAAAAACTAATTGTCTGGCTCAAGTCATTATCTTTACAAATATCCAACCCTCAAGCCTTATGAGAACAGTTACTGGAAAGAACAGTAGATATTAATGGGTAATAATTTGCTTATTAAACAAAATAGGTTTTTAATCTGAGTATTTTTCTGTCTTTCTTACTTTCTAACCTGATCTCTGAATTAAGTTGTGAACTGTATATTTTTTTCCTGGAAATGAATACCTTCAATTGCAACATAAGCTTCTAAGGTGCTCTTTTGAGTAGCTAAATTAGGTGTAGACTCAAGGCTAAAAGGAGAAATTAGAAGTGGTAAGCATCAGTGGGTTTAGAGATCATCTCTAATTTTGGTAGTGACCTGGGTTCAAAGGTTTGACCAATTTCTTATGGTGTTTTACCTTAGATTTCAATGTGTTCTGGCCTAGACAGTTAATCATAGCTTGCAAAATACTAGAAAAATATTGTATCATAAATTGGTCTTTGCTTTAATTGTCTGTAAATGCAGACTAGCATTTTCAAAAGAAATAAGGGAATTAAATACCCAGTTCAGTGGCGATGAAGTCATCTTAAGCTTCTTTGGAAATTTTACCCTTAACTTCAAATTGGACATCAAAGTTTACTTCCCTATCCCTAGCTCATGTATGATTTCTGTTTTCTAAAACTGTTTTCAAAAAAACCATACTAAGCCTGTTTTGCAGAGATAATCTAGGTTAGACATCTTTCTCTTAAAAAAAAAATCCCTGATTTTTAAAAAAGAAAAACACAAACTGTTCTGACAGCCAGAATTTAAAGGATAGTTTCCAGAAGTATTAAAACTTAGACATGTGTGCATCATCACACATGCACACACACATACTCACACACAAACACACATCCCCCAGCAGTTACCCCATCCTATCTCTTTAAATCATGTAACAAAAATATGTTTGCTGCACCATCAATGTTACAGGCACGTATACTCTACTTTATGTGCCATATTCTCCATTTTATTTAAAAATTACATTGTAGCTGGTTTTGAGACATCCATGTTTTTATTTTCTTTACTTCCAGACCAGCGTAATAGAAGGTACACTAAACAATATCAGTACCTTGTAAGGCACTATTTTCTGATGTAGGAGAGGAACACGCTTACAGCAGACGTCTAAGGCCTTGACTCTACAAACACTGACACATGTGAATGGTATCGCTGATGTGAAGGAGACCTTCATTTCAAAGCTAGAGAGACATGGTGAGTGTTCTGTAGGATACTGGTCCAATGGAGTATTTAACCTGAACACTGGCTTTAGTCGGGATGTGTGTTTTAATTTTTATTTATTTTGGTGGAAGTAATAAAAAAAATAAAAATTTGGATGCTGATAGAATAAGATCTCCCTAGGGATACCATCTCCCATGATACGTTTCATCTCTGAGAACAGGGCCCTGCCCTTATATTTAAAATAAAAAAACCAAAACCCTTCACTTAAGTGCCTTAAGTTTGACATGTGAAATATTTACCACATTTTAGTTCATAAAAGTTACTGTATATACAAAAGAGACCTCAGCCAGTGAGGTCTTTCTTAGCTCAGTCCAAGTCTTTCAGGTTGTAAAAACATATTCTTTCGATGTGCTTCGAAGTCTGCAGATCAGATCCAAAATCATCAGGCTCTGTTAAGAAGAGTTGTCCTATAAGAAAAGTAATAGAAATTAAAATTACCTTTTCTATAATAACAGATTTTACAATTTTGGAAAAGGTATGCAAACAGGAGGGAGGAAGCTGATGATCACATGCCTGTGTACATCTGCAAAAAGACTCAAGTTCTGAGGAAGCTTTTTACCTGAGTGTTTTCCAGCTGTCTTTTTCCATGTGGTTTTCTGGACCTTCACTTTCAAAGGATGCAAGGAACAGAGCTAGTAAATAAAATAAGAAGAGTCAGATACATGGGTTCTTTAACTGGAAAAAAAATTAAAAGTTACAGTATATCAAATGTAACTTAGCAGGCTTCATAATGAAGTTTATTCACATCAGAAGCTGATACAGAAGTGATAATACATATATTTTTTGCACGTTAATTTTTTTATCTTCATATTCTGTCTGCATTTCAACAAGCAGGAACTCACTATAACGTTCAGGAAAGGATTTTACCTTCTTCACTGTAAATGGGTGCTGTGAGTAGATAGCTCTGGATCTTCTTGTCTTTTTCAAAAGGGCACTCAACCTGCTTCCATGTCAGGAAATCATGAATCTGTCTTGAAATTTCCCAGAACTTCTGCATGAGGTAATTAAAATAATAATATTAAAATAATACTTGTTTTCTTTGAAATACTAGTTCTTTTATTTCAATTTCAGAGCCCATCAGTCTTGTTCTTATTCATGCTTCTTCTCAAATTATCCCTTAGTCTTCTTCCTCATCAATCTTTCTTCTTGCTGCTCCCTTCATCTCCCCCTCTTGCTCCTAGTTCCTCATCTGTTTTTAGCCTCTCAAGTTTAGAATAGCGTATCCCTGCTAACTGCCTGGTCTTTTGCATTAAATTCTTTTTCATTATCAACCTTTTCTTCATATATAATAAAGTGCTATTGACTTATTTTCTGTGTCTTATCTCTAAAGTGGCCTGCAAGTGGAACTGGACAGTAAATGTTTTTTATTTACTTACTTTTTATGTTTCCAACCTTAAAGTTAAATGAAGGTGACTTACCTGATTTTTTCGTAAAGAATTTTTTAAATTTAAGAACTAATAAAAATAACATATAGAAACTACAGATATCCTTTCCTTCTTAGGATTTTAAGAAATGTATAATTACTCAGGGTTTGTCTTGTATATTCTGTGTGCCCATGTCTTCCCAGCCTTAATAATGGCAAAAAATTTGAAAACTACCTTTGATGGGCTATGGTCTTTTGGACACATATGTCTATTGGTCAGGGAGAGAGAATCCAGAACCTGTGGAAACTCCCTTGAAGACCTGCTAAATACCATTTGCTGGTTGTGTGTATCACTTGCAGCCAGCTAACCACATGAGGTTAAATCAGTTAACATTGATGATTTAGAGTGAAGTTACCCGTTACAATTTGATATTTGGATATAATAGCTTGCTGCCACAGAAAAGCTTACTTTCCATTCTGTACTGTCTTCTGTTTCCTCTAATCTTTTTTGAACATAATAACAGTGCAGGGCTGAGGAGTGGCAAACTTTTGTCTGCCATCATGCGTGGTTCACTAAAATTCTTACACTTCTTGAAATCAAGTTTATTTTAAAAGCTCTGAGTACAAAGTACCTTGAAGAGATTTCCCCTTCTGATTAGACTATTTCTGTATTATTTGAGAGACTTTTAATACTGGGAGGTTTGGCTTCTGAAATCCTCATTTTCTTCTCAATCTTTTCATGCATCAGTTTTGGTAACAAATTAATGTTATTCCAATCAGTTCTGCTCATGTGAATTTTGTTTTGCAGTGCATTTGTCACATTTCATGTAAGACTAACAAAAAATAATCTCTACTTCAGTACACTTCAAAACTAATCTTTTAACTGAAAGCAATTACATTGCAGCAGTTCTATGGATTCTCTTTGTATATGCAATTGTGGATCTGCTGAATATGTAATATAAACATGGCAACTGCAAGTGCTAACTTTCACAGAAGTTCAGTTAAATCATTTCCCTAGATAAAGATACCACTTTATGTCTGCATCACAGCAATGCAGAAGAAATTGGTAATATAATGAACTAGAAGTTCAAAACTGGCAAATGCTTGTAATGTACAATGCTTAGAGTTACAGTTTCTATAATACCAAAGTCCTACCTTGAAGTTTATCTGCCCATTGGGCAAGCGGTTTGTATGTATTTTGTGCAGAAAGTAGATATCTTTAATAAACAGGTTGAAAACTGGGATGACTATTTTCTCTCGATTGCTGTTGGCAGTCTGAGATCGCTGTGCTGCTCCTTGCAGGGCTGTCCGGTAATTACAAAAGTTGCTGGATGGATCCATGTGATGCTGTTTAAAAACAGGGTGAAGAAAAGGCAGTCAAGTAATGTATGTTTCCCATATATAAACACTTTGCTTTAACAATCAGAATGTTCATTCTTTATTAATTTGCTGAGGCCCCTTTTAAACTTTCAAGATAGAGTACCTTATACTGGTCTGGATTCAGGTTTTTCTGATTTCTATCTTGTTTGAGAGTTCTGTACTGCATTTACATCTATGCTTTGCTTCAGTGGTTAATGGAAAACTGAAAGGAAATGATGATTGACTATTGAAAAAAACCCTAAATTCTAACTTGCTGCCACCAGTCTGAAAATTTCAATTGTTTTGTTTTCGTTCAGATCTCCACTAGATGGAGCACTGTAATTAGTTTTAAGGTTAGCAAAATGTCATTTGCTTGAGTTAAAACTAGCTTGATGTTAAATTGAAAAACACACGTTAGGAAGAATGATCGAAAGAAAACTTGCATCCGCTTCTCTTTGCAGGCAAGTAGGGAGTCTGAAATTCAGGAAATGCTCTCCCTAATGTCTTTATGCTGGTGATCACTGACAGAGGTGTGCCTGTGATCTGTGACTTAGTAATTCCACAGCAGAGGTCTGGATTAAACTATTTGGTAGACTTCTATATTAAGTCTGAACTTTATACATACCTCTAAAACATCAAATTTGGCTGTTTTGACCTTGGACCAAGTTTTCTTTAGCCGTGCCACAGGACTCAAGTTCATGCCAGCTGAATAGAGAGAGAAGAGACAAAGAAACAAATGAGTTGAAAAAATACAGGGCTAACATAGCTCTGTGTTTATATATCAGCACCATGCATTTTGGAAGGCAGTTCAACTTGAACAAACAAAAGTTGTAGCTAACACTCACCCACCCACACATTATTCTGTCCCTGGTATGTACTGCCCCTGTAGAAGTGTGCATGCTGATGTGGTCAACCAACTTGGGGCATGTACGAGCATTGTCTTGCCAGTCAGGTTGTAACAATGGAGTTCACCTTTTGTCACCTGTGTTAAGGATACTCACAGATAATGGCCATCATTGAGTTGAAGTTTCCAATATTGAAGCATTCTCTTGCCACATCAATGAAAAATTCCACCATTCTTGTACGCTGCTTTTTCTTTACAACCTGAAAAAAACAAGACCTGTTAAGAGGAAAGGGATGGCCTGAATTTTGGATGGGATGTTCAGTCAAAGGCATTCTAACAGGTTGACTGAACAGACATTTCAAGACTTTACTCAGCTAAATCTTATGATGATATAGCCTGAGGGTATTTTGTTAAGATTATTTTTTAATAAAATAGAAGTATTTGAGGCTACTATCAATTATTTGCCCAGTTGTGGGGGAGTATAAATTTTTGTTTATACATAAAGTTCAATGTCTTAGGGAATCTTATACAAAAAAGCTGGACACTTTCTGCAATTTCCTGTTACTGGAAAAGGGAGATAACGTGAGGCTGTGATCAGAAAGAATATATGCAAAAAAATTAAAACTTTGAAGGAGGGAGAGCAGTGAACAGACTTAAGACAGGTGGCATGTAACCTGAATGTGAGAGAGAAGAATTGCCATGTCCTGATTTTCTCATTTTACTGTGTATGCTTTTATATGACCTCTTGAGAGCAGATAGTGATGATGATCAAATATACAAATGCCCACTCATGCAAACATGTAAAAGTTCTAGCAAGTGATGCAGAACATCTGCATTGCAGATTCTTTTAGAAACGGCAAAGCAAACTTAATGCATAGCACTGTCTTCAAACTTTTTCCAAAAGCCATCAATTTTTCTATTTTTTTTTTCAAGTTAGTATTATTGCCTAGATTACATTCATTCATCAAAAACTTTCCCACATTTGCATCTAGAAGTTTGGACTGGCTTATACAAAAATGGCTCCTGAGTGGTGACTGCAGACTACTTCACCAGGAAGCTTTCTTTTTCTTTTTTTAAAAAAACCTCTTACCTAAATACTTCAGTTTCTGTGTCGCATCAAAAGAAAATGGTTCAGTCATCAATGGCTTTGCTCAGTCCTTGGTATGCTAAAACCTTTTGTCTGACTGGTTTACTGAATGTATTAGCCATACCAGCCAGCTCTGGAACATGTCTTGGTGTGTTTTTAAACTTAAGAGATTAGGATCAATATATCAGACTTTGTGAAACTGCAGTAGATATCTGGATTTCCACAGAAGTACTTCTGACCAAGCAGGAATATAGAGGAAATGTCCTGTTTGCTAGAATTGCTGCATATTAAAGGGAATCTAAAAAGACAGAGACCACGTATGGGGAAAGAAAAAAAGGGTTCTGGGGCAGTATACCTTCCATTTCTTTGCTCATAATATGGTGGAAATTATTTAACTTCTAATAAGGCTGGTGTCCCTCCTTTTTTTTAATTTTTTAACCTCTCCAGTAGTCTACTTTCTTTCCAGACTTCCAAAGAAAGTTTATCCCTGATTTTTGTACAACAAAAATTAATATAGGACAGTGCTAATGATATCTAAGTGCAATGAAAAGACAGCTGTTTGTTGGTAAATCTGTGTTTAAAGACTAATATCTTTGAGAATTTATGGATGTATTTAAAGATTAAAAAAAATAAATCTAAGAGAGCTCCTAACTCAACCTCCATGCAAGTTCCATTTCACTGTATGACTAATGTTACTGTGGAAGCTACACAAAACTAGAGAATTTATGCAAAGCTAAACATAGCCATGAAATCTTAATCATATAAGCATGCAAATAATTTAATGCTTGAGTAATGCCATTATCTTTAATTGCACTGCTAATGTTTAAATCTCTATTAGACCACTGCCTGCCTTTTGTCCTTAAGGCCAGGATCACTTTGCTATCTTGTTTTCTGTGAATACCTACCCGACAAATCTCTGTAGCCACCAGCATGCTGAGACAATTGAACCAATTGTCATAGGCTTCTAAATTATAGGTTTTGGCCACATCACCTCGGCACTGTAAGAGAACAGGCCACATGTTAATCCTATCCCATATCATGATAAAGTCAACATACCGAAAGATAAACTTCCTTTTCATGTCTTGATAAAATCTTGTTGGGATACTTCTTCAGGCATGAGCTTAAGGTAGGTTAGAAAATGTCAGCGTTTTCTTGCACAGGGTATACTCAAATAGTGGAGTTTCTTTACTCTGGTTATCCTTTGTTTCTTTTTCCCTCCATACCCCTTCTTGTACCTTGTGATTATCCAGGGCATCCATGTGGCTGACGATCTGCATCAGATCCTCTGCGTAAATGTTGCTCACCCTTTCCTGTGTTTGGAGAGATGAGAGATTGTCACTGCACAACCAAAAGTTCCATGAAAAACACATCAATAAAGTCAAAGTTAAGAGAATATTTTGGTAACTTTCATCTTCCTACAGTGTAGATGTGTGTCTTTCTAGTGGTGTACCAAATCGGTCTTGTTCATTAGTTGGTATTTTTTTATTAAAATATTAGAGGCTTTCAGTGAAGCCAGAGCAAAATTCATATTGGTGAGTGTATTGATATTTAGTAACTGGAAAATTAAATAATTCACTCAAATTAGTGTCTCACCAGTTCAACATAGGTCAGCTGCTGTGCCAAGATCAGAGGGTCGCAGCACACACTCAGGATGTCCTTTTGAGTTGACTGTGGCTTGGTTTTGAGGATGGTGCCTTTGTCGGTAACAGGTTGCCGGAATCTCTCTCTGATTTCCTGGTACTGGCTCCGTGCAGAGAGGGCCATCAGGAGATTCTGTGTCATCTGGCTAATGATCTTTTTCACTGTTCCATTTTCCTAAGCAAAATGCAGAAACAGTGACTGCTAAAAACCTTTAGCTCTTGCAGTCACAGATCACCAAGGAATTTCTGACTGAGAAAAATAAATGCCTATTAACCTTTTTTTCAATCTTATCTGAGCTGATCATTCCATGACATTCCATTCCATTGTCCTAACTGCCCACACAACTTCATAACAACATCTTTATGCCTGCCGGCCTTCCCAACTCTGTTTCACTTGCTTGGCTCGTCTGTTCCTTTCAGCAGTTTTTTGGCTAGTACCCCATTTCAAAGGCATCAGGGTAAACAGCTTTAAAAGTGAGTATAGTGAAAGGTGGTTGAGTTGCTTGCATAAGGCTTCTTCAATCCTGTGTACGAAGTGCTGTAAGCTCTTCCTCATTCTGATCAGACCCACTCATGACCAAGTCTGTCTACCTAGGCAGAATCTAAGGAATTTGCATTATGTCCAGGAATATACCCCTAAAATAACCCTGGCTTGGTTCTGAACAACTATAGCATCCAAAGATTTAGGTAAGAGCACAATATACATCATGTTCTTGGACAACTAAAATGCCTTTCTGTGCATCAGGTACAGATTTTAAACACAGGGTCTGTAAGGATACCTACTGGTAAAGCCACAGAAAAAGAATCCATCTGGTCAGTGTTTTGACAACAAAGGCAAGCTGAATTCTTTCTGCCATTATTTGTGTCCTATAGACATTCCTCTATGAGGTCAACCCTGAAGAGCTCACTTGATCACTTTCCTAGTCCTCCATCCCTCCTGTTACTGCTTTAAATGGCCCAGATTTTCCAATGCTGTTCTTCCTGTTGCTGGAAAAATTAATTCTATCAAAGACACTCCTTCTCCTCTTTCCTACACAATTGTTCTCTTGATTTCACACAAATTATTTCTCTTAAAGTTAGCCACAAGGTTAACAGTTAGTTTACAGGGCAGGGGGAAGCGGACCCAAAACTGACTAACTAGGTATTCCATCCCACATACGTCATACTCAGTATAAAAACCAAGAGATCACGAGGGTCTCAACCCTTTTCACCCTTCTTCCATCTTGGAGCCCTTCCATATGGGACCCTTCTGTCTGTCTCGATCCTGCAAAGGCCAAGGCCTGAGCAGAATCCTGCCAGTTCGTCTGCCGCTGATCCTGATTTGTGTGTCCTGCATCCTGCTCCCACCTGCTGCTGAGTTTGGTCTGGGACTTTTCCAGTGCCTGGCTCCGCAGAACCTCTGGTGATGTATTTGTCATTGGGGGGAGGGTGGGGGGAGGATTTTATATATTTTTTTTTAATATTTGTACATATTTGTATATATTTCATTATTTTTCCTATTTACAATATTAGTATTAGTATTAGTATTATTGTTTCATTAAATCTGTTAGTTTTATTTTCCAACCTGTAAAGTCTCTCTCCCTTATTCTCTTTTCTCTTCCCTTCTGGGGAGGGAAGAGGGGTTAATAGAGAGCGTCTGTCCAGGATTTAGTGGCTGGCCCAGCCCTAAACCACGACAGATTTATTGTGCTGTGCTGGTTTCTGCCAGTCGACTGGATACACTAGAAAGAACTGCAATGAATTTGTGATCATTCAAAGAAGCCACTAATGTGCAGTGATGACTGAAATTATGTAGCAGATGTGAGACACAATGACTACCAAATACTTGTATATTGCATGCTATAATTAAGCAATAATAGTGTCAGAATGTTGCTTTACAAGGCAATAATCTGACTCCCAAGTGAAACCAAATGAAAAGCTGAAGGCAGTGCAGCTCATCTTGATGAGGCAACTGGATTACCGCTGAACAGCAGCTGGCTGGAGCCATTTCAGATATTGTGCTACAAGTGTTCAGAAATACCAAGGAAGCATGGTGAGTGGACTAAAATACAGCTCTAATTCTGCTCTCTGGTACGCTGAGCTTTCTATTGTAAATCGTTTGACTTCAGCCACTATGTCTGACTTATGCGTGTGTCTGAGAGGAGGCAGACTTTGTAGATATAGACCATAAAGAATCAAACTTGAAGGCAGGTGAGAGTATCGCGGCTATTATGTGAAAGTGATCAAATAAACTGCAGTGACATGAAAAACTATGGCTTGCTTAAGCTATTGTAAATTTATTAGCGTCTTAATACTTAAGACAAATGCCCTTGGCATTTCCTTTCATTACCAGTCTTACCCTAAATTTTCTTACACCTTTGGAAAATAAGTCAATGAGTGTACAATAATTTGTCCTTGTTTGAGTTCAAACAAGACATCTGTACTTCATTTGGGATGCAACCCTGGCTGTAGCCATAGCTATTTGGTACACTGTCTGATATCACTAGGACAAGCATCTGACCACTTCGTGCGAGTTCTCAGTTTACTTTCTATCCTATGTATGGAGAACAGTGTCCTAAGAGGATTTGAAAAAGTTTTAAAATACAAAATAACACCCCAAACCATTATCATAGGTATTGGGTAATTTCTTGTGGTAATGAATACTGAGAGCAAGAGCTGCTTTTCATCAGTGTCAAATAATGTTTCCTAGGGGTCAGATGTGGCATAGCTCTTCACTGATCAAACTTGACTTGTACCGTTGTTAAGGGGATAAATAACGGTAATGCTGTAATTAATGGGTGTCAACAGATGCCTCAGACACCAGAGCACTGAGCCACTCCATGAAGACGTGTTTTTCTCAAATGACAATTTATTCATAAATAACAGAGTGGGAGGGAAGAAAAAGAGAAAGGCCAGCTTCTAGTTCAAAGTAATAGACAAATCCTAAGATAGAGATGCTAAATAAAACCTCTACCAAATCACCTTTCACAGTAGTATCTCTGCCAGCATATACCTCTTCACCCTCTACAAAAGCAATAGAAGGCATATTTTAATCCTATTTCCTTTCCACCTGCTACTGACTCACTGACATTTTCATAGTAGCATCCAGGTAAACAGCTCTGCTGATGCAACAAAACTGACATACTTCCTTTTGACGACTTGGTAACACCTAATTGTATTGTGTCCTATCAGATTCATGCAGTGCTGTCAAACCTGTTGTTCTTCATTTTCTCTGTACTTGAATCAAGAAAAACATATAATACAATTATCTTCCCATTTCCTGCTAATTGTTCTCAAAAATATCTTGAAGTTGTGGGTTTAAAAACAAGAAGCTTCTATTTCTATATAAGTAAGCCTTCACATTCATACACTTTACAGCTAATTCTCTTGCAGTTCTTGATTATATCCTTCTGTCTGTTAGTAGTTAGTGACCTTCTTGATGAGAAAAAGTGTAGGTTTTATGAGTGTTGGGAGCGTAGGAGGGGGAACCAAACCAAAATCCACAAAAAGCAACAAACCAAAACCAACCAGAAAACTAACAGTTTTTGTTTTATTTAGATTTTTTTATCTGTGTGTTTTAGGAAAGTCTTTTATGAGGTCTAGTTTCTTCATAGATTAGAATCTTAAGTTAAGACTAATGATTGACTAGCTAGAAGAGCTCAAATATAACTTCCTTAGTGGAAATACTGTGCATGTCACTTCACAGAATCACAGAATCTCAGGAGT